GAAAATAGGAAAGACAGCCAAAGTTCTCCATGTACAGCACAAAGGACAACGCCTAAACGTATTAGAGAATATGAAGATATACAAACAAAAGACGTTCGTCAGAAAAATCATAAATGAGCAAATAAACACCGCATCTGATATATTATTCCAACCACTCAGGCTACTATACGCAAAACAAAACAGAAACCCTGCAACTAGTATAAACAATGAAATGCAGGTCCAAACTACAGAAACAACAGAACAAAGAGAAAGAAAATAACTGATTTTTACCTACCTGCGAATCCATGCAACAATTAATCAAAAAAAGAGCTAATTTCTACCTGAGGATGTACACACAGAACTTAAACTACTGGTTGAACGAAAGAATATAATCCGCTGAGACGTACCTAACTATGAACCAACGACGATTAAACACGGCTATAAATAGTGACAGACAAACAGAAACTATTCAGAACGAAAAATGACACTGAAGATGGCACAACGCCGAAACCAGTTTGTCTCCAAACCAAATTTGACAAGGGATGACGGAAAATCGTTCCACATTACATTAATTCCCAAACTTAACTCGGAGCAAGCGAGTATTCGATGACAACTCTGACGAAAACTCAGAAAGCGAAGAACACAGAGAAAGTACAAAACTAGCATATGGACATATACCTTTTCATCGGTAATGCAGTCACCATACTAATTCGGATAGGAATCCAATTAAAATTGAATAAGAACTTATTTGAATTAATACGGTGACTGAGCAAACAAAGCAGCTAACTACTTCATCCGCGGTAGCCGAGTGGTGGGGACTGCGTACTACAAGCCTGCAGGTCCCAGGTTCGATCCTCGGTTGCAGCGATTGCCAAACAAAATTTAGTTTTTACTGTTACCTTAAATAATTTTTTAATTATATTTGATTTATATACTAAATTTTGCTTTATTTTACTTTCGTTAGTTTTATTTCATTAAGTTTTTTTATTATTAGTTTAATTTTACTAAAAAAGTCAAAAACAACTAATTAAAAATAACTTAAAAAAAAATATAGAAGTTATAATTGATAGAATTAAATAAAAATTAAATGAATATTCTACTGGCCGTGGGATTCGAACCTACGAGCTCGCGGCTCGTAAATCCGTATTACTGCCATCTGTGAATGCACAATTTTGATCAGATCAATTGCGGCGTTAATCGGGATCAACGTTGCCGTCTGTCTATGCTTTTAGAATGCTAGTAGTTAGCAAACTTATCCTAGCTGCAACGCCTTCAAAACCACTGTATTGTCTGTTTTCCTTAATATGCCTTTAGCCTAAGCGATTATTAGTGGTAAATAAACAAATGGTAGTTAGAGAGCTTTTACAAGATCTCAACATACTCCTAGAACGTCAGGCAAAAAGGGTATATGCACACAAAAGCATTTGTTTTCCTTTTCAAGCAAATTGTGAAACCAAGGCTCGATAGGGAATTTTTTTTATTCTGTGTAACTATTTGAAGGTCATAGAATATATTATACTTAGTTTGTTTTATGATATACCGACTTACATATAAAGTACCTGTATTTTAAAATGCATATGTGTCGGACGGAAGAAACTTAGGCGGTTAAAAAAAAGTCCAAATCTCCACGAGAAATATTCGTGTACAAAGTATAGTTATTATATAGTATAGTTTATAATGGTGTTATTAACTGCAATTAACTCGGTTATAAATCCTATAATGCCCTAACTCTCAAACCGCTAAATTTTTAATAATGAAAAATTAATAGTAAATAATTTTTTTTTGGCAAAATTATAGCAAATTCCAAAGTAAAATTAAATTTTTTCGTTTACTTGTTACACTAAAAAAAAGAAAGGATGCCTCAGGGCACTCATATCGGTTAAAGCCAAAAATTAAAGACTGGTATAAACGGAATTCATGAATGTGTTTTTTATTGAACAATGTAAAATAATTTAGATGGTAAAGCAAAAAATACTTATTATTTATGATGGTAATCATAAAAACAGTTTTTGCTGCTTGAACAGCAAAGGTGGATATCACACTTTTGACAAATACACTGCGTTTGAGAAGTTTTGCATAATTTACATTTTCTCTTGCCGCCATCTTTGCTCAGCCAAATCGTACGTCGTCAACTGGAGTTTCGCTTTCAGGCCAATACAGGAAGTTCCTGGCTTCGAGGTTGATGGTAGTGATGTAGATGGACAAGACGTTGGTTTGTTGGTACAATATAAAATAATTCGTTGCTGCCATGTCAATAAAGTGATAAAATAATCTGGTCATTGCGTCTCGTGTTTTAGCGCGAATATGATAGCGACCCATTAACCCATCCAACTTATCGACACCGCCCATATGGCTATTGTAATCGTCAATTATTGGGGGACAGTCGACTTCAACATATTTTTTGCATTTGCGATCATATCGTGTTGCCTTTTTTGCTTGTAAATTAGGATTTCCTCGTGTAAACGGTTCTATATCAACAAGTTGATGCAAATCGAACTGACTTATTGTCTTTCCACAAAACAGTGCTGATCTCTATTCCATAGGCTATGCCCACAAATTCTGCCGAGAAGCCTCTTGGCTTGTCCTTTATAATATTGTTATTGTTATTTTATATATTATTGGGAGCTTGCAGTTGGCAATTCGATTTACCCGGATGGTTCCTAAGCTGTAAATGCCATTAAATATGCCAAGAGATATTATAGTATCGTACCTTTTCAACAAAATTGTTTCAAATCACAAAATTTTTATTTTGGTCAATGTTTTTGACAATAAACAAAGAAATCAATGCAAAAGAATATTGTGTCAACGAAAACACTTCTCACACGCGACTGGCCATAAAAGCAAAACGAAGCTTTTGCGAGCATTCAAAACTTCTAAGCAAAGAATGCCAAATTTCTGATGAAACGAATGGCAGTTATTTTAAACAAAAAATATATGCCCCTGTAGGGAAAGTAATGGGTGCCCTGAGGCACTCTTACCGGTTAGAGGCTGTATTTTTTAGGGTCGCAGACTTATGTAATAGGTGTCTATAGAGAAATTGTGGACATTAACACCCTCTACAATGTGCCATAAGCCGCATTTCGGATCCGTGGTAAGTGCGCTTTAAAATTCTAAAAATGGGTTTTTCTCCATATAAAAAAAAAATAATAATAATTTTTTTCTTAAAAAGTAGGTTATATTTTACAAAATTGCTATTAATGAAAGTTATTTATAATTTCGGAGGCTATCCACAGAAAAAATTTCACATCGTTTCGTTGAATTTTGGCCCTAATTCCATAATTTCTTGATTTGGGACTTGCGACCGAGTAGCGCAGCACTGGCTCTCGACGTTCCTCGTCCAATCTCGCGTGGTGCGAAGACCTGAACATGCCCTAAAGTGACACCAGCTAAGGCAGGTGTTGCACTTGACTGAAATCACGTTGCGAAATATCCTGGTCTGACACTCCGTGCAGATTGTTGGAGCAACCTGGGGATGTTGGCGGCGGCGGTAGTGGTACGGTTATGTCTGTTGTGTGGTCTGTTGTGGTTACGTTGTGGTCTATTGTGTTGTGGTGCGGTTGTTTGTGGTGAGCTGCTCAGGCGGACTTGGGTGTGCCGTGGACGCAGCTCTGTTTGAGCAGCAGGGGGCCACATATGATGTGGTCCACTGCCGGTGAGTCCTTAGGCCTGAGCAGACTCGGAGGTGACTCCACCGGTTGCAAGTATTGCGCTTGACTGAGGTGGAGTTGTGGTGTAGTCGTCTTTGGCACACGCAACATGTGTAAGTTTCTGGCCCAGGGTTTGACTTGATGGCAGCCCTGAGCAGAAGAGCACGTAGCAGATGTAGCCCCATGGACGAACAGCGCTTGGGATATTTCGCCGACCTAAACGGGGTTAGATCACCGTCACAACAGCCCTTGGTCGGGTACTCCAGTCATTCCGGTACGTAGAACCGGCTGTCGTGGGACCTGGGACGCCGGCGCGCTCAATGCATAGAGCTGCCTCTTCGCCTAGCACTCTTCGTGTAGCTGCTGCGCTGTACGTTGCCGTTTGTAGTGGCTGGTGTTACTGTTCCAGTTGCTGATGCGTTGTAGTTTTTTGCTGTTTTGTTGTTTGCTCATCTTGTTTGTAAGATCGCCTGCTCGCCGGAGCGAACTAAGCGGTCGATGTATAATAAGGGGGATCTCAAACTCCGCCGCGCCAGTGCCCTATGTCCCGGTTAGGCCACCGTTACTCCTCGATGCAGTCCAGTGTCGAGAAGGCGCCGGATTATTCCCTTCATGGCTGCAACCCGTCCACAATGTCGCGCAACGCGCAGGATTAGGAGGCAGTTCTTGGTCGCTGTTCTCCAGCAGCCCTAAGATTTAAAGAGGGAGCGCAGGAACAGACAGTGACTGCGTTAGACCAGTCCAGGGAAGGACTAATTGGTGATTCAACTAAGCTCCCGCACAAACGACATGGTGCATGCCTTAGCGGAGGTCATTGGGTGAAACCCTAGTCAGCACCCCATAGGTTACCTTTGGTACCACCATGGTGTAAAACCATCATTGGAGTTTCCTGCCACGAGCTCAGATAGATATATAGATATTGAAAGAGGTATGCACCGCGACCTGGTAGGTCCTTTGTGCCCTTCACTCATCAAAACACATCATTAGTCCCAAGAATTACAGGAAGTACAGGACAGCCTTTGGAGGTAAGGAATGTATGTGCATGTGAATGTATCTGGTCGCCTCGCTACGGCATCACACTCCAAAAGCAGGTAACAGGGTGTCTCCTCATCCGAATCGCAGAAACGACAGAGATCGGTCGACCAGATTCCCAGTCTGTGCAGATGATCTCTTAATCTGCAGTGTCCAGTGAGGATGCCTGTAAGTATTCTCTGCGATTCGTGTCACGTTGTGGGCATTAGCATCACAACCGATTATTAACGGGAGGTTGTTCTTTCGGCAGTACTCAACGAGTTCCTGTACCTCATTGGGAGAGATGTTGTTATTATCTCCCGCGAAGTATGCCGCAGCAAAGACGATGTCCTTGTTGTCTCCACCGACTCTCAGCGTCGCCTGTACCGCTACCATATCTTGTGTTAAGAACTGTGTAATGCAAATATAGTCAATGTCGTTTCTTAGAGGTCTTATATTACCTTATTGTTGCTGTGGTTTAGGCCCCTTACCTGGCCTTTGTAGGTCCACGGCTCATGTATCAGTAGGATGCCCAGGTCTTCCGTGGCAAACCTGCTAGCGATGACTACGAAGCAGCCCCCACATGGTGCAGGTTGACCTGGGCTACTGCCAGGCGCCGTGGTTCATCTCTTTGGCTCGTCTAAGTCGGACAGCCTAAGATCGCTCTCACTCTTATCGAGCTCTAGTCTCCTAATGCCAAGCCCTTCTAATAGCTCCTGCGTGGAGGGGACGCACTCCGCTGTACTTGCATTTTCCGTTACAGGTGAGGTAGCGGGAGCTGGTGACTGCGTAGGTAGTTGTGGCTGTGATAATTTTTGAGGCTGTGGTTGTGGCTGTGGGTGGCATGTTGGGTAGGCTCCGATGGCGGGTGCGGAATTGAGTAAGGTTCAGACGGTGTTGGGGCAGGGTCAGCGTGAGCCTGTATTGCCTGGGACTCTTCCACCCTATCGCCCATTGATTTTGTTTCCTGAGCCTCTTCGGGCTCTGAGGGCGCTATTACCGGCTGACTACGGTCGCCATGGCCTAATAGTGACGAAACTAAGTCTATAATTAATATTGAAGCCTACCCTTTCGATGCTGCAATACGATTCCTCGTCTATGCGAAAGTTCAGTCGTAGGCCAGTGTCTTCAATGACGCTCGGGATCACTCTCAACGCAGAGGTGTTCTTTAACTTTGCTGGCGACGTTGACCATGACTCCCTTCAGTGCTATGTCCCACATGCACGGCAAGGCTCTTTTCCTAGTATATGGAATGATGGTTCTGGCTGCACTTGTGCTAAGCCCTAACTTGGCACATCATACCAACGGATACCATTGTCAGAAAGAAGCCGAAGGAGTTCATCCACTGAACTAAACAAAAGAAAAGCTAAACCCCTTCCTGAGGACAGCTCCCTTTATATCAAGGAACGCATAGAGCACTGTTTCACCACGTTCAAAAGCCTCTTGAATTCCGCTTGTCATTTGATACAGGGCTGTGTCCGTAGGCCTTTCAGCTCTGTATGCGTGCTGATAGGGTTAGGGGTGTTGACCTCAGAATTTCAGTTCTAATATACTATTAGTATATTATCTTCTCCATTGCTTTTAATACAAACGAGGCTAAATTAATGACAAAAGGCCAAGGAATGATCTACCCGCAGACAAGCAATTAAGTTTCGCGGGTTAGGAAGTTATGTTACTTGTTAGTTGCTAATTGTTTGAACAATAAAATAATGATAATAATAATCATTTCACTATATTATCGTTCCAAAAACTCTCCCAATTTTAACCCGGTCCTGCGGTCTTCCTCAGATAAGCAGTGTGCTTTTCGTTCGAAGAGTCTCCACACCAAATTTGAAACGGGATGAAGGAAATCTATTCCGAAATATATCTTTTCAACCTGTACGAAGAATCAACCAATACAAACAAGTAGCATTAAATAATCATTAAATGTCGCAAACAAAATGTATTAGCAACTTCATTTTCGGTTTCGGCCCGGTTTGAAACGTTGTAATTTAATATAGTAATATATAAAAACTTACTGTAGTACGAATGTTTTTGATTTCATTGGACGAATTAAGCCATAATCATTTTAATAGTTTTTTAACACAATTAATGTACTAATATCCAAATTCATAAAAAACAAAGCAGACTTTGAATGCTTTATAAACTGAAAATTTTTATGAAAATGTCACTTTATAAAGCTTTTTAAACCTACTGTTTGTTATAAATGAAACCATTCATATATATGACGTCTGAATATAATATTCACGTGTCGGACCTATTTACTGTTATTCCTGTGATGGGCATGCATTGAGAAATGCCTGAATTTAAGTAGTTTTATCTGAAAACTATTAAAAGAATTTCTTTATACATACACACATCGAGACGTACCGCGAAAACGTTTTCTTGTTTTTTTCGTAACCCGTTCGGAAAATTTCTGTGAAATTCTAAATGTAGTCTAAGCCCGGTTCAATACAAGTGATAGACTAATTTTTAACTTCATTCAACTTATTTTGTACGCACAAATAGTGCAATTTGGCGCTTACGTTAATTTTGTTGTCACCACTAGCTCACCATTAGACAAACATTTACCAGAAAACATTGCAGTTTGCTTTGAAATCACTTTTTTTTTGTAGTACACATTACATGTATATAATCATAAACAAGTAAACAAAACTCAACAAGTAATAAAACATAAAAAGTGTCAAATAAAATTTGTTTGTAATTGGTCCATCACATAATACATACATTTATATATTTCATTTCATTTCATTTATTTACTTTGTAAGTACAGTAAAACTGGAAAAATTTCAATTACAAGATTAAACTTTAGCTAAGACAATAATATAAGTAAGTATATGAACTACATATCATTCTTGCTATATTATAACTAACACTAAGGGATAGAAGACAGACAGAAAACTTGAAAAGACAGAGGATGGGAAGTCGATAGTTAATTTTTGAGTAGATTTGCAACTGCTGTTTTGAAGCATTGAATCGAACTTACACATTTAATTGAATTTGGTAGTGAATTCCATATTCTGATAGCACTAACAAAAAATAATCTTGAGGCTATTAATGTTTGGTATTTAGGGACAACAATATTACAGGTACGAGACGATTGAACAAATTTTAATTTACGGTACAGGTATAATGGTTTGTGGTTTCTGCTCAGTTTGAATAAGAATAAAATATTGCGATAATTTAAGTAACTTTCGATGCTATAACCAAGAATATTTACAGTTAACAATGATATATGGTAAAATTTTTTCTTACAATATATAAACCTGGCAGCATTATTTAAAGCTCCTTTTAATTTATTCTTCGATTCATAATCCAGATTTCCATACACTATTTCACAATACGCGATATGGGGAACGATAAGCGACTGAACTAGCTTCAATTTTGTATTATTTGGTAGGCAATAACATGTATGCCAAAGGTTTCTTAAAATAAAGTATATTCTAGAGATACAGTGGTTGATATGATCTGTGCAAGTCAAACGAGAATCAATTTTAAAGCCCAGATTAGTCACAACATATCGAAACTTTAACTCAGTTTACCCCAATATAATTGGCGATAGACAACTCAGATCAAAAGAATGAGGTGATATAGGTATAACCTGCGTTTTGGCAGCATTTCAGCAGAGGCTATTTGTTTCGGCCCAGATCTCTATTCTCCTTAGATCTTTATTTAACCGAAACACAAGGTCTTCCCCAAGTCCAATTGGTCGCGAGTAGTAGATCTGTGTATCATCGGCATACAGGTGAATATAAGCATTTTGACAGCAGTGAACAATATCATTTACAAATATACTAAAGAGTATAGGACCCAGGATTGAGCCTTGCGGTACACCGGAATTAATTTTCCTGCGACAAGAAATTGTTTCTCCACATTGCACTTGTTGGTACCTGTTTGATAAATACGCTTCCATAAACTTAAGCGAAGTAGAGTTGAAACCAAAATAGTACTTCAATTTTGCAAGAAGAATGTCATGCTTTATGGTATCAAAGGCTTTAGAAAAACCTAATAGGACCAGGATAGTGAGTAGTTTGTCATCATAAGCAGGACGAATATCTTCCATTACCTTCAAAACCGCTGTAGAACAACTGTGACTTGACCGAAAACCAGATTGGACCTCACTCAACAAGTTATGATTATTCAAATGTAGAACTATCTGGGACGAAATAAATTTTTCAAAAACTTTGGCTAAAACAGGTAAAATGCTAATAGGCCTATAGTTTTCGGGAGAGTCACAAGACTCGCCTTTGGGAACAGGAATAATATTTGCAATCTTCCAAAGGTTTGGAAAGGAGGATGATGCTAAGGCAAAATTAAAGATATGTGTAAGTGTCGGCAGAATGTAAGGGATAATCAGCTTAAGGAAACGTAGACTGATACCATCTATACCAGTAGCATTTGACTTGATAGCGAAAATATTCTTTACAACATCGTCTTGATTGGCCGTATTAAAAGAAAATTCACATGAGGGTTTGCAAACCAAATTTTTATTAAAACTGAACGATTGCGAATTCGTAAGTTCGTAAGCGCCAATGAAATAATGGTTCATCTCATCCGCACCAAGACCGCAAGGTTTTGAATCTTTATTACAGATTCCCATAGATTTCAAATTTTTCCACAATGTTCTGGAGGGTAATTTTGTATCAAGCTTATTTTCCAGATAGACTCTTTTACTGTAACGTATTTCTTTAGCTACTTTATTTCTCAAATTTTTATATGCATTCCAACGCTCAAGGATATTGCTTCCAATATTTATAGGCCTTACTTCGATCATTAATAAGATTAAGAATGTGCTTAGTGAACCACGGTCTCTTATAATTATTCACTTTTATAGTACCTAGAGAGGGAAATATTTATCATACAAGTATTTTACCAGTTTATTAAATTGATCTTAATTATCATCCAAATTCGAGAAGAACCAGCAAGAGTTCCATTCCAGTGATATACTTTCGTCATTCATTGCTATTTTATCAATACATTTAAAATCTCTGAACGTCAGGTTGGTAACTGACAATTTGTTAAATTCAATATTAAAAGATAAAAATACTAGTTCATGGTCAGAGACTCCATCTAATGAAAATTGGTCTACGTCGCTAACTTTGCTAACATCGCTTACACCAAAGCATGCAAAGCTTACACATGCTTGGCTTACAGTGAGGAGCAAAACGTGTTGCAAATTCGTTTGCGACAGTTAATCCACAATTGGTAAAGTTTTTTAGTAATTGCCTGCATTTAACATTATCCAGGAGAAGATCGACATTAAAATCACCACAGACGAGGACATTTACATAGCTGAAGGACAGTTCAGATATTTTTTTTTTAAATAGTGGTAAAGTCATTACACCTATGGGGATTATAGACACATATTACAAGACACTTTTGAACATTATCACTAAACTCCACAAAAAGACTTTCAATTGTTTCAGGGCAGACAGATTTATGAACGACTTTACATTTAAGACTGGATTTGAAATAAATGGCAATGCCACCCCCTCTATGAACAGTGGACCTATCATTCCTTAGCAGAGAAAAATCACAAAGAGCATAAGCAGAGTTAGCAATACAAGGTTTGAACCATGTCTCAGTTACACAGGCCACATCAATATTTATTTCCCGTAACAAAAAGTTTAAATATTCAAGTTTATCAATCGATAAACTTCCAGCATTAAAGTCGCAAATATTGAACCCATTATTATATTCGCACGTAAGTTTCAGAGCTAGTCTAATATTATCACTGTTAGTGTATCTACACAAGGTACTAGTCATATGGATCACAGTTTGGGAGGCTTGCGAAACAGTCAGGTGCAAAGTACAAATAGAAGGAAAGGGAAGAAATGGGGTAGATGTGTCCTGGCTATTATAAAAATAAGTATAAAAACAAAAGTAAGTATAAAAACAAAAACAAATCGTACAAAGTTTCAATATTAACTAAAATAATAAAACATATGCTAAGTTTAAGTGGCAGCTGCTAGACGCTCGACGCTCTCACGATTAAGAACTTTTACTCCTTCACTGCCAGCCGCTTTTGTCTTCTTAGCTGAGTGGCCAGTCGCATAAGCTCACGCTTCTTTTTTGTCAAGCATTCAAGAACAAATATATTTCCTTCATCAGAATCGATTCCAATATTGCGGCGAGTTAATGCCTTTCGGCTAGATTTGAGAAATCGAGCAACTGCTACGAACAAACGAGGGCGATCATAAGCAGAATTTAGTTTTACAATGATAGGAGAGGGGTTTGTGTTGTTGGCGCTTTTGCTACTGGGCTACGAAAAGTAGAGCGAATTGGAAGTGGATGTAGGTTGATCGACTCACATAGTTGAGTAAACAACGAAGTTAAATTTTCTTCAGCTACCTGCGGAACATTATACATAATTACATCCGCTGACACCAGTGCACTTTCCACCTCATCCAAGTGTTGACTCAACTTATTCATGTCACTGCTTTCATCTGCATTTTCGCATAGCTGCTCTAGCGTACTCACTCTCTCCTCCATAGTTTTCATAGCTAGTTCAAAGTTAGTTAGTTCAGCCGAAACTTCACCCATTTTTTGCATTACTCGCTCTTCACTTTCTTTTATCTCTGCCAGTATGTTTGCCATGTATGCTTCTAACTTTGCTTCAAGCCTCGCAAATGAACTTGCCGTTTTAGGACTGCTTACTCCTCTGACTTGCAGATTTTGGGCAGGAGTTTGCAGGGGAGAGGGAACATTGCGCGCACTCTTTCTCTGGCCCGACATATTTGTGTTCACCCAAAATTCGAATGACGAATACCGAGAAAATTATGCAAAATAAACAAATATCAGCTGCAGCCGCGATGTTGTGCGGACAAAAGTTTTACCAGATATGGTTAAGAACTTTATTAAAACCCGGTAATTTCGTTAATACGCGTGATATAATGCAGCGCCACAAAAAACACGCCCACTGACAGTGACATAGTTGACATATCTTCTCTCGTTTAATACATCTGGAAGGGCTTTGTTATTCTCAAGAGAAAGATCTTCCTTTTGGAAACATGGATTAGTGCTGTTAACAGAAAGAGCTTTCAAATCATTGTATTTATTTAAATTAAATTATTTAAATTAATTAACTCTGCTGTATAGAAGAAAAGGACCCTGGACTATAAAAGGATACAGCTGAGAGGCTTTGTTTAGCTAGAGATATTTCGCAAACCTGAAACCAGTTATAAAGAAATCTTATCAATATACAAAAGGAACAATTAACATAAAACCCTAAACCAGGCACATTTTACGATATCACACCACACAAGCCTCTTGTAAAATTTTAGAATAAAGAAACATATCGTTACCTTAATTCACAAAAGAAACTGCATTTTTTCACAGATTTTGATAGGATGTATTAAAATACACCTTCAATAAAAATTTTAGAGTGTTAGTACCAAAAAAACGGAGTTGCATACCACATTTTAAAAAGCCCTACTTGTTTTGATACTCTTTTCACAATTTTTCGCTTCTCCTGTTAAATAGAAACTTGTTGGTTAGGGCCTTTGTGAATTAAGGTAACCATGTGTATGCATATTTTAAAGCACCACCTCTTAATATTATTTTCAACTTTTGAATTATAAAAAACTAGCTTTTACCCGCGGGTTACACCCCACGTTTTATACAAATATCAAAAATACTTTTTGTAAAGATGTTATATTTTATTTCTGCTCTAATTTTACTATAGCCGTGATAGCGGAATATGGTAGGTTGTATAACTTGGGTAATAATTTTTTGGCACACCAGGTGTTTTTATTTAGGTTGAAATATCTCCCACAAATTATATAATAGAAGAAATACCAATGTAATGTAATGTTGTAATATCTAAATTCTAACTATCTAATTTCATACGATTATTTCTTATATTATTTCACAGCATGTTTTTAATACTTCAAAGCATCTATTAACATAAATGCATTTTCCAATGCAATTATCATATATTTTATTCTCGATAAAGTTTTGGGTTTTACTTTAAGGCATTCTTGTTTATTGTCATTGCAAAAGCTAAGCGAACTGGGAACTGAAGTCTGTTAAATTCGAAAGGCATAGCAAAAGGAATTAAAGGGGTCATGTGACTTGTGGTTCCGAAGTTATGGCTGATAAGAAATTCCACGCCTATATTATGTGCCACGCCCCCATTTACAAACTCATGTATATATATATACCTTACTATAAGCACCTACCATAGATATGTTTACATACCAAATTTCAATTTTATGTGGCTTATGGTTCCGAAGTTATGGCTTACTAAAAATTCCATGACTATGAGATATGTCACGTCCCCTCCACAAAGTCATTTGTTATAAGCATCTACCATGGATATGTCTGCATACCAAATTTCAAGGTCATGTGACATGGTTCCGAAGTTATAGTTGATTCAAAATTTGCAGGCTTATGGGAGGTGCCACTCCCCATTGCAAAATTGACAAAAAACTTACAAATAAAAATACTTTGCACGGTTCACCGAAATAGAAGCGAACAATAATTCAAATTTATTTTAATAATAATTAAAATTTAAGACGGGCATCAGCCTATTTTCACTTCGCGTCAAATGAGTGATGTGTTTATACCTGTTTTCTAACCGAAGTGAGAAATAAAAAACCGATTTGAAAACTAATTCGAGTCAGTACACTTTTCAATTTCAACGCGCTTTGAAATTCAGTTTATGTATCCGTTTTAAATCACAGCGAACTAGGTCAAAGCGCTTTATGTGTCGGTATAAACAAGGTATATGACGATTAACGATACAAATACCACTGGACGTGTCATGGGTTTTATAACAATTCTACATCAAAACATTAATTTCGCGATAAGGGCTCGATACGTATGTGCTATGTAATTGAAGCCTCCGTACAAATGAATAGTTAAGAAGCCGTTGGTGACATTTAAAAGGGAAATCAGTGTGCTATTTAAATCATCATTCGTCAATAGTTTTAAATCCATGCCTGTTAGCTTCCGCTGTTTGTGAAGTTTAAATAAACTATTCTTTATCACAGCGGTTGCTTTGTCTGACCTGGGTTCGATCCTTGGCCGAATAACATATAAATTAGAAAAAGTTTTTTTTAACTGAAATACTTAAGGCAAAATAAGGCATCGACTGCACATGTACATTGCAGAACAATTAGGCTCTGAAAACATAGATATTTGTTAGTTCTGTGAGTTTTTACGTTTTTAATAAAAAATGTAGAAGTAAACGAGTTCAATTACTTAAAAACATTTTTAAAAATTTTATTTTTTTATTTTGTTTAGTATGTTCAACCGGCAGTTACTAACAGTCCCAGCCAAGTGCGTTCTAATCAAGCAGGCAGTTTATATCGAGGACCCTCTGCTAGTCCAGCGCCCCGTAATGGCGCTCGTCATGTCCCAATGCAAGCTATGTATCCACAGACGATGCATCAAGGAGTTCAAAGCGTCGTAGTACAACCTTTTCCACAATATCAGCGTCAAGCGTTTCAAGCACCACCCTACGCACAATATACGCAACCAATGCAGCCAAATTATCCATATCCATATCCCTCATACTACCCTGTTCCTGCGCAGCGCGGTGCTGTAGGTGTTAGTACTGGAGTCGGTGTTGGTAACACAATGTCTGTACAATCAGGGCCAAATGGTCCAATGACAGGTCCGCCTGGTGCTACACAAACTCAGTTGCCGTTAGCGCCTGGAACGGTGCTTACTACGAGTGCCGTACCACCTGGCTCTAACCCAGCGGTTTTGGGCGTAGGACCTTCCCCCAGTGGACAGCAGGTTGCCGTCCAGTCGATGGTTGGAGTTGTGCAAACTACTGTTCCTACACAGCCAAGCCAAAAGTCTACACGTCGGCGTGCACATGCTCTCGAAATCATTGATCCCAGCACAAATAAAAATATTTTAGAAGATTTCGATAGGACGAAGGTATTAAATATATGAAAGCATTTTTTCTAATAATAAAACCTTTACCATTTTCTATAGACATCTACAAGCTCAGATGTTGAATATACCGACCAAAATGTGTATGTCCAGCAACCGATTGTTATGGCGGATCAACTGCGTAATATGCCATATGATATGATGGGTATGTATTATAAGGATTATATAAAAACATACTAATATCTTTGTCACCTTTCAGAAATGCACCAATTAGGTCGCGATGTAACACTGGGGCAGACCCCAGTTGTTTCAGCTATAACAGACGGTCCCTCAGTTGAAATCCTACCGCCAATGCAAAAGCCTAGAAGTAAAAAGTAAGTACCTCATTAAAACTAAATTTAATATTTTTTCGTTATTATGGAGTAGTGCGAAGTGTGCCTTAAGCAATTTCTCGATTTATTTGTGAACTAATTTTGTTGTATAATTTATTACGTCTAAGCTTCGCAGTGCTTGTGCTAAATGACAAATGTTTACCATTTGTTTTCTTTTCAGAATACTACCAATTGTTAATCCTAAGGATGGGAATTCTGTACAAAGCTCAGGTATGCGGATATTTAAGTTATTCTTAGCAAGAAACACTGCCATGAATTTTTCCCTTTTGAACGTTGACAATTTGTAAATAAATTTCAATATCAATGAAGTCTTATAATTGTCTTTCGAAAGAATTTAAACTAAGTGCTCCTGCACGTTCTCACTTATGCCCAAAGATTTCTCATTCTCATTGAACCCGTGTTTTACAATCCCTAGACACGGTGATAGCTACTGTGGATGAGTGATTAGAGCTGTGGAATAAGCACTCACTCATTTCGAATATGTAACAGGCAAATCATATAAAAACCAAAGAGAAATAAATCGTAATTGCAACCACCATGAACGTCTGCTCTATGAATGCCATAATCGGAATCCAACCATCACCGGTTGCATGGGAGGAGTTTCTGTTGCCTCGTGAGACCTTCGCCACATTGGGCTTACTTAAACCTAGCATCGCTTCCCCTGTCCGCTTAAACCTACACCACCTACGTTTAGTCCTATCCCGTCGAAAAATTATGTTTCTTGGTCCCACACTCCGTATCATAAGTATATACCCACTCACAAATTTTCGATTGCTTTAAAAGGACTCAGTCAAGGTTAATAAAATGTTTGGCAAAATTAAATTAAATTACAATTAAGAACCAATAAAGGTGTATATTTTAAACCTTTAGTGTAATTTTTAAAGCTGTGTAGAAAACAGCACATATCCTTGTTTTGTTTAGGTCATCCGTATCTTTTACGAAAATTACAACATTTTAGGGCATATGGCTAATCAAATTTCTAATCATATCCACATCAATATCATTTGAAGCGTTCCTACGACAGTGGGGTCTACGTAACCGGAACGACCCAGATTTATATCTGGCCAAGGACTGTCACTCCAGCAACACCCACCAAAATTTCTTTACGGAATTTGTATGCTGTTAGAACAACAACAACAAAGCGCTCTAAACTCCATTCTACGTTAGTGAACGGCATTTTGTTTTCAAAAATCCGTTTGACTAGTTGTCCTTAATACAAATTTTACCAAAAACACATGGTGTGCAACATCCTCTTTTGTGCTACACTATGTCTTTTTGGCCTTTATTACATATACAGCGTGAATAGTCCTTCTTCCCAATTTATTTGTTAACACGGTAAGATATGCTCTTGGCTTCTTACGCGTGTTCATCAGAGAAACAAAAGAGGTGTTCCTTTATAAAAGAAGGCGTTCCACTGAAGAAGAATTTCCACATTGAAATCACGTAAGTAATTTCAATGTACTGATAAGAATCTGGAGTGAATATTTTCCCCCTAATTTGAATTTCCATACGATAGACGCTTGCAAGCGTATCGTATAAAATCAGTTTTCGTGTTATCGTTTTCATACGTTTTCAGATGTATTATTGTGAATGGCTGTGGTTTTTGTTCACTTTTTATTGTGATCCAACATAAATCAGCCACGCTAACTATAGGATTTCATACTACAAACATCGATTCGTAATAGGGATTTACAGATTGCAAGCGTTTATCGTGCATCGTATGAATTCATAATAGGGGGGTTTTCACCAAAAGTGTTAGCTATCGATATTCTTGTAACTTAGATATTCCAAAATTTAATTTTGCTTCTTAATTATCCTACTCAATTTAGCCCGGTATTTTGCCTTCCGAGTTTTAGATGGGCGTCGTTATTGTAGTTGACACACTCACCGCCTTCTGTTATTTTAAATGTAGCCATAACTCTTAATAGACTGCCAAACAGCTTACACGAACACATGACGATTTAATTCGGCTTTTAAATAGCTTACACAATCACTAGTAGGACTTTTGGGTTTCGCTTTTTTTTTGGCGGTGAACCCATAAGCGAAAGGTTTTTTAGAAAAAGTTTCTTTAATACCTTAAATTCAATACTTTCCACGGAAACAAATCACTTCGAGGTTTTCTTCAATTTACACATTCCTAAAAAAAACCAAAAAAAAAAAAAATTAATCTTGAAAACTTATGTTTTCTATTAATTATTACATTTATTTGATGAAAGGGTAAACAAATTTGGTGCTACTTGACCCCAAAAACTAAAAACGCATATTTGATTTTTGTTGCAGTTATAAAAAATCATCCCAAATCAGTGTTGGCGAAATGAAACGGGGCAGCTCCTCTACAGGGATATTGACCCTCCTGGAAAACGTATAAAGAAAAATGAATTTAACTTTATGCCCCTGCCTGAACTTAAACAAACTGACGACCACATCCCACGTTTCCTTATAGCCAATTGAAGACGTATACATCCACTTTCATCGACCGATGTTTTCCAAATTGAAAGAGGATTGAAAAATATAGGCACTGACTACACACATGTATAAGAGGACATGAGATCTGCCCATCAAAACGCGAAACCTCAAAGCTACTGAAAAATTCTTGAAGGCCACGTTGGCCACATTGAAATAGTCCCCTTCAAAATCTCATCCGACAAATCACTCAATACTGTTCAAGGAAAAATCTATTCGAGAAATATAATTAACCTAACCGAAGCGGAGCTAATGGAAGGTCTAGCCAAGCAAAAATTCGTTGAAGTGAGAAAGTAAATGAAGAACGCTGAGGTCAAACTAGTTCCATCCGGAGCAGCAATTGTAACTTTTGATCTGATACGCAACACACTTATGTTAGGCTGGGAAAGAGTTTACGTGCAGCGGTACATTCCAAACCCCATGAGGTGTCTAAACGGGCAAACCAAGGAAATAGTGCAAAGGTTTCGAATTGTGCACAGAATATGCACCGTCACCACCCCACGAACTTTGCCAGAATAAATTTTGTATTAACAGCAACAGTTACAAACACGCTTCAAACGCTCTGATATGCCCAAGTTTTCTTAAATATAAAGCAATAACCAAAATAAAAATAGAACAAAGGTGTACAGTAGGAGAAGCATGGAAAACATATAGTTCCAACGCAACAGTCTTCCAAATTGCACCTTTCCAAAAAACAACAAACAAACCCTCGTTATCCCAAATTTTAAAAAACGATACCTCCACAACTACATGAAACACCTCAAAGCCAATTAAAGAAAAAAAAGTCCAGCCTAAACGCACAGAATAAACAAGTAATTTTTAAGCAACAAGTACAAATTTAGAAGTACCGTTAATTTTTTCATGATCAAATGATTGGTCCTAAACCAAATAAACCAAATTAGTATGGGACCACCAGTGAGACACTTCCTTTCCGATAGAGAAAGAATTATTGAAATCGGTTAACGTGGTCCAAAGTTATGCGGTAACATACATAAAAACAAAAAAAAAAAAAAAATATTCCGACGAATTGATAATCTCCTTTTATGGAAGTCAGTTAAAAAACAAAACCGACTTCAATTCTCATATAAAAATTTAAGATTATCGTTAATTTCTTCATGATGCAATGATTGGATCGAAACCAAATTAGTATGGGACCACCACCCTGCAAAAATCTTTGGACCATGTAGTCTATTTGTGGTATATTGGATTACTTACAAAAGTGTTCCTCTGTCATGCTGTAGCGGACCAAGTCGTGTCTCTGCGCCAGCTTATTGTTTGTTATCCGATCACTGCTCGTGTTTTAACGAAATGTGATTGAAGTTGAGCATTTGAAAGCACATTTGCATGTCTGGCTGTAGCTGAACGTGTAGAGATGCTCGCTGTTAGTTCTTAGCTCCCAGCATGTTCAGGTTCGAATGCCGTCAGAGGCCACATTTAATTGTTAATGTTTGTCTTGGTTTTTATTAATTTCGAAAAAGCATTTGAGAAGTGAAGAACAAAAGCGTGTACAAACGAAAAAATATAACAACAATGCCATTGTTAATATGTTGGAGTAGTTTTGTGCTACTCTGATGTAATGCAGGGATGGAGTATATGCCTGCCCTAGGACATCGCAATTTTAATTGGACCATATTTTTTATATGAATTGTGGTTAATTTTGGAGTACTCCTTGGTCCTTAGGGAGTACTCTTTACACGCATGCATGGAGTAGTCGCGATTTTTGCAGGGCAGTGAGACACTTCCTTTCCGTTAGAGAAATAATTATTGAAATCTGTTAATGTGGTCCAAAGTTATGCGGTAACATACGTAAAAAAATAAATAAATACATCCCGACGAATTGATAACCTTCTCCTTTTTGTGAAGTCGGTTAAAATGAGCACAAAACAGCAACCCTACTGCAACCAAAACCTACACTATAACTAAAATCACAACAAAGTTAAAATATCACGCCCCCACCATAAAGAACTACCACCATTCCAATCATTCCCACGACAGTCGGTTCTACGTACCGGAATCACTCGGGTTTTATCCGACCAAGGGCTGTTTCGGCGATCTAACCCCGGTTAGGTTGGTGAAATATCTCAGACATTGTTTGTCCATAGGGCTACATCTGCTACGTACTCTTCTGCTCAGGGCTGGCATCAAATCAAACCCCAGTCCAGAAACTTACACCTGCTGCGTGTGCCAGAGACGACACCACAACTCCACCTCAGCCAAGTGCAATGCTTGCAATGGGTGGAGTTTAGACTAGACTAGAGATGGGCGCGTGAGTAATTTTGGCTCAGGTTCACGCACGCTCACGTTGATGGATTTTCTAAATCTCACACTCTCACGTTCTGTCAAATTTTTTCAATCACGTTCACGCACGCTCACGACGCCTAGTTTTTAATCACACTTTCACGGATTTTTTTTTTCAAATTCGAACTGTATTTATATATGTACATAAATAGAATTTCATATAAATATTGTTACAAGAGCTTAGCCAAACGCCTTGCCTGGGATAAACGCGGTATTCTATTTTTTTTTTACAAATCTCAGATATACGCACATATTAGGCTGGGCCAATTTTGTATGGAGGGAAATAAAAGGCGTTAGATTGACAGTAATATTTGATGAATTCATAATGGTGTCGTAAGTGTCGTATTGTAGTATGTCGTAAACTTTATAAGCTTAAATAAATGTTTAGAGAATTTGAAACCACAACCAACTATTTTTTAACACTGCGAGAATTCATAATATGACTTTGA